TAGGATGGCCTGGGATCCTCTGTGTATTCCCAACTGGCCTCAAGCTCAGCAACCCTCCTTCCTTGGCCCTGAGTACTCAGCTTGGAGGAATGAGCAAAACTTTATTGGTTTCATCTCCATTTAATTTTAATATGTGATACACAGCCCTTCTGAGATAGATTATAAACATACGAGGGGTCAGTTAGAGTAGTTCATATCTTCAGTGAGTATATATTCTTAACGGGTATATTGACTCTTACTGAGACATTCAGAAACTTCTACTGTTTTTAATTGAACCATTGTTGCTATTGTTGTATGTTTCTTTATTCATTTATTCAATTGTGCCACAGTCAATACCTCCTTCTACCATGTGGCTCCCAGAATTGAACTCTGGTTTTCAGGCTCAATATTTAGTGCCTATACCCACTGAGCAATCTTTTCCACTGTAGGTTGTATTTTCAAACAGTTTCCCTCCCATTCCTTAGCTCAGGCTGGCCTGGAACTTACTATGTAGCCTGGGTTAGTGTCCAAGTCATGGTATTCCTCCTCCTTCAGACCCCCCCCCCCGGGCTGGGATTATTCCAGGCTTGGGCCACCACAGAAGCCACAGCAGACCTTTAACTGTTTAGATTGGGTCACAGGACCAATGAGTGGACGAGTGGATCTAAGCGGAGCAAGGCATGCTGGCACAGAGGGGCTGGCGCCCCGCGAGGGCAGGGAGCCGCTGTAGCACGGCTCTTCTGTGATCCTAATATGATTTTATAACAAAAGAGCCAAATTCAAAACCGACACTGTTAAACTACCAATCGTTGGATATTAACATATCAGCTAGACAGCAACTAATGATGGAGTTGAATTGAGTTATTTTAAAAAAATACATTTTATATACCGTGTGTGTGTGTGTGTGTGTGTGTGTGTGTGTGTGTGTGTGTGTGTCTGTCTGTCTGTCTGTCTGTCTGTCTGTCTGTCTGTCGGTCTGTCATGTGTCACGGTGTGCGTGTGGAGGTCAGAGAACAGCTTGTGGGAGTTGGTTCTGTGCTTGCACCCTGTGAGTTCCGGGAATTGAACCAGGGTTTCCAGGCTTGGCAGTGGTACCTTCCCCTGTTGAACCATCTCACTGGCCCTGAACTGAGTTCTTAATTAATGTTTCTACTTGAAGAATGGGATAATTAAAAATCCCAAAACATAATATACGGATAGCATAAAGAAAACGAAGACTCTAGTAAGTTCAAGGTGGCGTGCATTTTCAAAGTTAAAACCCAGAGAGAAACGGCAGGTCCCCTCCTGAAGCTGTCAGCTTGGAGAAAGGAGTAAAACCAGATGCTCTGGTGTTACAGACATCTCCTGTGGTTCATTGTGATGGTGCAGTCCGCTACAGATACGGACAACTGGTTCCCCAGCCAGTGCATAGTGAATCAGAAAGATGGTGGAAGGAGACTAAATGTCCTGGGACCCTGACAGCAGAAGAGACTGTAACTCACAGGGTGGGCATTCATTGCAAGAAGAATTATTTTTTAATTAAATTCTAGCCTATTGCAGTAATCATTTCACATGTATCCCTGCACCAACACTGCATTGTACACTTGGAATAAACACATTTTTTGAACTGCCAAATACTGGTCGATAATGCTGGTGGGGGCAGTTCCTATGCCTAGAAGCCAGCGAGAGTGACTCTCTAGAGGTGGAGAAGGGGAAGGCAAAAGTCGGGAAATCCATCTCAGAGCATCTGGGAAGAGGCACAAAGCTGGTCCCAAGGTGCAAAGGAGGGGAGGACACAGAGATGCAGAGAGAGACGTTGATGGACAGGTGGAGGTCACAGAGATGCAGAGAGAAACATTGATGGACAGGTGGAGGTCACAGGGATGCAGAAAGAGACATTGATGGACAGGTGGAGGTCGCTCACAAAGGAGAGGAGGTCATAGGGATGCAGAAAGAGACATTGATGGACAGGTGGAGGTCACTCACAAAGGAGAGGAGGTCACAGGGATGCAGAAAGAGACATTGATGGACAGGTGGAGGTCACTCACAAAGGAGAGGAGGTCACAGGGATGCAGAGAGAGACATTGATGGACAGGTGGAGGTCACAGGAATGCAGAAAGAGACATTGATGGACAGGTGGAGGTCACAGGGATGCAGAAAGAGACATTGATGGACAGGTGGAGGTCGCTCACATGGGTGTTCTCTTGTATCAGCCTCCTTTCTAATTGCTGTGAAAACTTACCTGGCATGAGCAACTTCAGGGAGGGTTTGCCCATCATGGTGGAATCGGCGTGGCAACGAAGAGATGAATGCCGGGGTTGGGGTTGCTTTCCCACTTTTATTCAGCCAGTGGCCCAAGCCTAGGGACTGGTGTTGCCCACATTCAGGGTGAGTCTTCCCTGTTTACACAAACCTTTCTGAGAACACCTTCACAGATACACACAGTGTGTTTCCATGGTGAATAGAAACCCATTCAAACTGGCAATGGTGATTAACTGTTTCATCTTCTAAGCAAGTGTGTCTCACAGACTTAGAGAGTGATGGATGTTAAAGTTCACCAGTGGACCGGAACTCCATCCAGATGGTAGGGCACCAATGGACGCTATAGGTTAATCTAGCCAAAATGCAAGGTCCTCTATGTAGTGTCCTATGCCACTGGGAAGACAGGTTATTTTAGGAAGGGCGAAGGTGTGGGTGGGCAAGAGTAGACAGGATGTAATTGCTGAGCTGAGCCCATGTCCAGCCTGGGGATTCTTGCGAGAGAGGATGACAGCACTCTAGAAAGTGGTGGATTATGCTTCATTAGCTTCCTATAGGGCAGTGGCTCTCAGTCTTTAGGTGTTGCATATCAGATATCAGTTACATTATAATTCATAACAGTAGCAAAATTATTAGTTATGAAGTAGCAATGAAAATAATTTTAGGGGTGGAGGTCGCCACGACGTGAAGAACTGCATAAAAGGGTACAGCGTTAGGAAGGCTGAGACCCACTGGCCCTAAGGATAATGACCTGGAGACACTATGGTCACTTCCCCCTTGGCCAGTGCCCTGGGAAAATGGCTCCTGTGGTTTCTGGGTCAAAGACGAGCAGAGCCTGAGAGGTCATCCCTCTGGGACTGAGAAGTATCCCTTCTTCCCTGGCAGATGGAGAGCCGTCACTGCCACAGAGCTTTGGATTTGTGTGTTCACAGTGTATCTCACATACTTGCAAGCCTGATTTGCCTCTGCTAGCTGTGGCTCCATTCTGTTCATAGGTGATGCTGCCCTGCCTGCCTTCAGAGAACCTGAGACAGGATAACTGACCTGGTAAAGCCCTGCACCAGTACATCCACCTCCGCCCACTTCCCTCCGTACCCCTCCCTCTCCCCCTCCCCCCTTCCCCTGACTTTTCATGTTCACCTACGCTGCACCAGGAGTGTCTTATCTGGTCTCCCAGCTGCTAGCCTCCACAATCTTTGGCAGCTGGACACTGTGATACACACTGTAGGCAACCAATGGGGCATGAGGGGCCCCTCACCCCAGGGTGACAATGAGGCCAACATGTTAAAGAAATGGAGGGTATCTTACAACGTGACTTATCTTCAGCCTCTGTCTGAATCACTCCCATCTCCCACGCTCCGATAACAGCCAGCCTTCCTAATTTTCAGCACATTGTGCACTCCTGCATTTGACCCGGTAGTTTACTTTATGCTCCTCTCCTCTTGTTTCCCTAGCAAGATGTCTTGAAGGTTTATCCACTCTCTAACTCTCTCCAACCACACTCTCTCCCAAGTCATTACTGATTAATTTCTTCCTCCTGTAATTCTATGGTGCCTTGTAGACGTGGCATTTGGAACATTATGTTGTGTTTGTTACACTTCTGGTTCCTTAACTGGACTTGGATTTGTCGAGTTAAAACACGAGGCATTTTTATATGAGGGCTTGTGCCTGGTCTTTTTGTAACGTGTTATGCCGTGTTCAGCTGCTCTTTTCTGGAGGGAAACAGAAGAGGGGTGGTGGATCTTGGGTAAGGAGGACAGTGGGGGGGGGCTGGGAGGAGAGGAAGGAGCGGAATTATGGTCAGGACATGATGCAATGAGAGATGGCTTGGGGAGTGAAGCAATGTAAGTATGAGGACCTGAGTTCAAATTTCCAGAATGTGAAATGGGGAACAGTAGCAGGCATCCATAGTGAGATGAGGGACAGAGACAAGAGAATCCATAGAAGCTTTGGGGGCAGCTAGCTTGGCTTACACAGTGGCAAACAACAAAAACCATACACACGGTCTCAAATTCAAGGTGGTAGGTGAGGACTGACCCCGAGGTTGCCTCCTGACCCCTACAGTGTGCAGTATACATACGCATACATGTAAGATTAATAAAAGGTAAGTGAGGTCACAGACAAGCTACTAATTGTATTTCTTCCATGTGTACCACACAGGAGGTCTTGCATACATTTTAGTTGCATCCATTTGATTCCGGGGCTGTCTCCACAGGCAGCCCTGGATGAGCACAGGCAAGCAGAATTCTCCAGAAAGGGATGTAGGCAGCTCACTGCACGGAGCTCCAACAGTAACAGGCTCCTGTTTCCCTGTGTAGTCTTACAGGTAGAGCATTGACCAACTGGAGACTTCTAGGACATGGAATTGTGATGGGGAAAGTTGTTTTACAAGTGATTCCTTTTAATCTTCACATGAGGAAACCAGCTTAGTTTCTAACAGGCCACACATTAGCTTCTGCCATCAATACCAGCCCAGCCATGGGCCTTTACACATGTGACCTTTACACATTCACGAATGTTAAGTCATTTTCCATTCCAGGCAAGAACAAGATACACAGTTGATGTTGGTGTAGGAGAACTTCGCTAAGGGGAGAACTTCGTTAAGGGATGCTGATGAGTTCAACTTCACTAAGGAAGTGTTTGATGAGCCTGGGTATCTGGAGAGAGGTTCTAATGAAGTGTTTTGTGTGCCTGTGCTCTGTTTGATCATGTCAACTATCAGAGTACAGGGTGAGTGGGCTTTCATGTGTCTGTGTTTCTGAGGTTTAATTTGTTTCCTGTAGGTTTCAAAACCTCCTGTGGTCCAGAAAGCTGTTTGTGGACAACATGAAGATCTATAACCACAGCTATATCTACATGCCTGCTTTCTCCATGAAGACGGGGACAGAGCCGTCTCTCCGTGTATATTACACACTGAAAGACGTGGGTGCCGATCAAACAGTGCTTTTTGCTAACCCCAACTTTCTGCGGAGCATTGGAAAGTTCTGGAAGAGCAGGGGGATCCATGCCAAGCGCCTGTCAACAGGACTCTTTCTGGTGAGCGCGGCCTTGGGCCTTTGTGAGGAGGTGGCCATCTATGGCTTCTGGCCCTTCTCTGTGAATATGCACGAGGAGCCCATTAGCCACCACTACTACGACAATGTCTTGCCCTACTCAGGGTTCCATGCCATGCCTGAGGAATTTCTCCAACTCTGGTACCTTCATAAAACTGGTGCACTGAGGATGCAGCTCGATCCATGTGAGGAGCCGTCACCCCAGCCCACTTCCTAGGCATTAGAGAAGAAAGCACTGGGTAGGGTATTTTTGCTAGGTTTTCTATGTGACTTCCAAAAGGAACGGCCAAGGTGTGTCATGGATTGGCATGATGGGAAACAAACACAATCCCAAACAGAACTTTGCTTTTGATGATGATGGCTTGGAGAACAATAAGAAATTAAATGTTCTGGAGAACATTTTATAGCATGTTGTGGATTTGCAGCTGGGGCAGCAAGGAGGAGATGCTGGCAGATCACTCGTCTGTGGTTCAGTTCTAGAAGATGCGATTCAAGGACCAGATGAACTCTAATCGCTGAGGCTGAGGAGTTCATCATGGAAGCATGTGGGAGATGCTGGGTATTGCTGAGTGTCGATACACACTGGCATCATAGTCATTTTAAAAGTCTTATTGAGACTGCCGTTAGGACTGTAGATTTTTAAAATTTATTATTTATTTTTGCTCAGTTTAGGGCTGTGGGTGGGTGATGGGGTAGACTTGCAAAATTCTTCCTGCTGATTTTTGTGATTCGTTAAAAGAAGTCTATGTTGACAACAGTCCCCTACAATAGTATAGTTTTAAATAAGAATTGCTTCTTGCCTCTTTGGTTAGTCTACTTATCATGAATCTGTCTTGAATTTAGACTGTGTTGATTCATAGTCAAGATAACATGAGATACTTCCTCTCCTCAGATGTTGAGAGAGAAACTCAAATTTAGGTCGCCATTATATCTACCCATTGGCTCTCTTGCTACTATTTTTATAAAATCACCATGCACACAAGTATATTTTTTACTTGTAGAGTGGTAAACGTGTCTTCATTTAATGATAGGTGAAGTAGCTTCCAGAAAGTAAGAACTTAGTCTGTAAGGCAGATAGACCAGAAGACACGGCCCTTGTCTCTTTAACATGAATATTTCCCAGCAAGATAACTCACGTGTGTGTACATGTGAATATTTCCTTTCAAGATAATGTGTGTATGTACACATGAATATAGACACATACACTCTGGCACACTATACGAAGTATTCAAGGATTATTCTCGTGGAACTGTCAAAACTGACTGTACATGGCCTGGTGTCTGTAACCAGTGTTGGAGAGCTACCGAAATATAGTATGGAATCCATTCCATGTTGGCATAAGTTGAGCTGGCATAGCAATTGCCCTCAGCTTTCATGCCAGCCCGGGGGGCAAGGTTTACCCTCAAATACATAATCCAGAGTGAGAACTGCTCTCTTAGTCATTCTGCTCCCGGGCCTCCAAATCTCATGACTAGGCCTAGTGCTGAGCATAGTGACAAGTGATATGGCTTATGCAGGTGAGGAGGTAGGAACCGCTAGCTGACAGTTGGGGATGCTTGGGCGGCTTGGTACAGCAGCTTTGACGCAGCAGGACAACTCTAAGACCAAATGTGTTCACTGTAGGTAAGGAGATAAGCAGGGACATTTTGTATGGTCTTCGTGCTTTGAGGTGCATTAGGCTCCAAGGAGGTGTGCAGACTCATGTTTATTGTTTCAAGTGTTGTCATGGTGAAGTTGACCCACAAGCTCTACTTCACCTTGAAGGTAGAAACTTAGTATATTAACCATCTCTATGAAAACAGGCTTTAAAAAGAAGACTAACTTACAAGGTATCGATGTTATTGAAGAGTTGCACATTTGAGGGTAGGGAATTTCCAGATGTGATCAAATATCCAGGTTACTCTAGAAATCAGTTGTGCCGGTGTTTATAGAATGGAGATGATGGAGTTCACCACTGGGTAGGGCTGGCTTGGTGTTTCCATCTTGTGTGGCAGGCGGCTTGGTGTTTCCATCAGGAAGGCAGTGTGAGCTGTGTTAGTCATGTCTGTGCAACCCTGTTTTGAACAACTGGTGTCTAATAGTTACCCAAGAAAGAATACATTTTTTTTTAACCAATAGACTTCATTAAAAGTGTAACAGGCCTAAGAAAACAACACATATGAAGATGTGTTCAGGTGCATGCATTACTTGGTAAATCTAAGCCGGAAGCTCATAAAACCCACACATCCCAGTTCACTGGGGATGCTATCTGGGAATCTGCACCCCTGCTACATTTCCTGGAGCACACCCGTGTAATGGACTTGTGTGCTTAGTGTACAACTGTAAAGCTAGTCCAGGAGGCATCGCAACTGCAGAAGAGAAATGGTCAACACTGTTGGGTAGACCTGCAATGATTGCCCTTCCCTGTCAGGTGTCATGAGCCAGCACCCGAGGACATGTTTTTGTTGTTAGGACCAAGAATACTAGCTGCTTGTAGTAGGGAACAGCCATGGATGATGGTCCAGAAGCACCAGGTCAGCCATTTGCCACAGAGAATGACCCACAGAAATGTTATTAGTGTGAAAATTGAGAAACCCCAAGTTAGAAAAGTTTGACTGCTCATGCTCTCGACCCTTTAAGACATAGGTACAGTGTTCATGTCATGAACAGCATCGCTGCAACCATTCATTATTTTATAGAGACAATTCATAGGTGTGTCATATATGTAACTTTTTGTGTTTGGTTAGATGATGTAGCTAAGCAAGAGGTGCGTGTGTGTGTGTGTGTGTGTGTGTGTGTGTTTATCATTATTTTTAGTAAAATACATTTTTCTATGTAAAAACTCTCCAGAATCATCCTGTAGAACATTCTGGAGTAATTCTATTACCCTTAAGAGGTTGGGTTTGGGTTCCATTCAGTTTTACTTCCTGAAATTAAGGCCTTCAGTTCTGGGCTTGGTATATTATTTAATGTACTTGACCTCCAACTTTCAGAGAGAAGGGATTTGGGTTATGAAGGATACATTCAATAGACAGCATTAAATTAATTTCAGTGCATCTGGCAACAGACGACTCCCCTCTCTACCACCAATTAGAGCAATGCTTTAAGTGGGTGCATGTGTGCATGCCTGGCAGCATACATGTGAGAGAGGGAGAGAGATGGAGACACACACAGACAGACAGACGGACAGATGTTCAGGTAGTGAGTGCCCGTTGTGCTTCTTTGCTGGGAAGCCAGTCATCTATAGTTTAAACTTCTTTGTTTGAAAAATAATCAGCTTTGTGGAGTTTTCTTGCTGGAAAACCCTCGTAAGGAGGGTATAATGAGAACCTCGGTCACTAGTGTGCTGAGGGCTCTTCACATTACGTGCTCCAGTACCTCAGCTTGCGTTTGCTAACCTGGGGGCCCCATGGCAGAGTCTGGTCACCTTGACCCAGTTGCAGCTCTGCTTATAATCACGAGGAGAAGAATTCCATTCTCTGTGTACATGGATAAACCTTCGGTGTCCCTGAAGCTAGGGAGCTAGCAAATATCCCACAGTTCCCGTGTTGTGACTTTGAAACCATGGGCTTGTGAAGTTGAGAGTTCACCTTCAGTCTATAAACTAATCGTGAGGCCACAGGATTTAGTCTGAGCCTTATACAACTCCTGTTTTATAAGTGGGAGGGTCTTAAATTTATAGACAGCACACACACACACACACACACACACACAGTATCTGCCTTATTCTCAGCCTTAATGTACCACTTAACATTTTCACATACATCCCAGAGATGAACGATTGACACACGTGAATAAATGGAAAGGTTGTTCGTACTTCCTGACCTTTCTTGTTGCAACAAGGAAGGAACATACTTCTGATTCCTTGTTTGGGTTTTCTCTCTGTTGCTGATATTTGTAGTTTCTTCTTCCTTTAACACAGAGTAACAGTGAGTTATACTATTGTGAACACTTGAGGAACTTGTTAGGGCACACAAGAGGAATTACGTAGTATGGTGCTCACCCACCTAGGACTGCCACACTCACTTTTGTGTTAAAAGCCTTTCTGCTTTTACTCTTCAGTTGAAGGTGTTGGCATTCAATCAGTGACACTAAGTTGACCAAGAGTTTGATGGTGTAATAACCCAATACAGTGATCGTGTTTCGTCTTGCTTCTGTGTACTTAGACTTCCTCCAGCTGGCTGTCACTTTCAAATGTATGTTCCTTGCACTAACAGTAAGCATTTTGGCTTAGTCCAAAACAGAAAACTTGATTCATGGAATTGTGGATTTCTCTTTACAGTAATAGAAAGAAAAACTGCAGTAGAGAAAAAGTTGTGGCCAAAATGAAAACTAAGAGGAAATAGTGATTTTTTTTGTTCCCCCACTGTAAAGGGTCTACTGGGAAGAGTCACAGCCTCGGAGGGCAGCTCAGCAGACAGGAAGGGATAGACTGTTGTCTTAGAATGTGCTTCTAAGAATGGAATGGCTTCAAGATAACTGAAAGGAACTGTTGCCATGTCATCATTAGGGTTAGGATGAAAAGATGTTAGGTGGACCATGAGCACGGATTGCGAGGCTGTTTCTGGGAAGATGTGAAGGTGGTACCTATTTTGGCAGTGGATCCTGGCAGTCTTGGAGGCCCCAAGTTCCTGCCTCCTGCAGGCGATGCCCACCGGGGTGCTTGAGTTTAGTGAAGCAAACACCTACATGTACATCCCTCTGTCCCCTGCCTTTTGATTCATAATCTCATGGTATGTTGTAATTTATCCCTCCTGTCACGATGATGCAGTGTTGGCGGCAAATGTCACCCTGCTGTTGACCAGTGGATGTGGTCATCACACAGTGCACGTAGCAAGGGTCAGTGTTAGCTTCCTGTCACCACAGTGATTCCGAGAGGCAATGACAACTTAGATACATTATCCTTCATGTTTTAGTTCAATCTCTCCCTCCGTCCCTCTCTCCTTCCTAATGCTATTTATGCCCATGGGAAATTGGAAAGTAACTGATTTGTTAATGTTGGGGAGTGGCAGAGGGTGCCTTAACTTTTCCTGGCTCGGCTCCCCACTTACATGTTCCCATCGTGTGTTTGTTACTTTGCAGATGTTTCCATGTCTGTCCAGCTTGTACCTTTATCTTCAGCAAGGGCCCTTTTAAATGTAGCAAATGGGACTATTTTATAGAAATTCATGATAGTTTATAGGCCTTGGAGAAGTCTGATAATGGTGTGTAAATATCCTTGGCTCAGTTGTGGGACGT